TGTACTGGGAAGGTTTGGTATCTTTAAAAAAAAAAACAACAACGTATTATTATTGCATTAGAATAATCCCACCATACATCAGTTTCAGGATGCACTTTTACACTTGAGATATTATTCTTATATTTTAGCTATTTGATATTTGAGTAATTCTGTACAGAAGAAAGACCAAGTTAATGAGATAAGTAACTGATAGATGGTGTCTCTTGGCAGGTTTCAGAGTTCAGAGTGCAGGTTAGAGGCTTAATTTTCATGTGGAAAGTACCTACATTTTGTTCTGATGGATTTATTAGTTTACATATGTTACTTAATTTGATTCTTACAATAACTGTGTAATAGCCATCTCCAACTTGGAGCAAGAAAAATGAAAACTTTTGACATTAAGCCCAACAGAGATTACTAGATCCTTGGTTACTTCAAGAAAGCTTTATTTCAGTCTTTTCCATAACACATGCAATCTCTATGCCAACTTTATATACATGTGTTTATTCTGATGGGAACTATAGTTTATGCCACTGCTTTTTAGTCACAATTTTATCTAAAAAATTAATGCAACTAGCATGTTTCAGTCAGGGACAATAGGTCCATGTGTATCTATGTGGTGCATGTACTTCTAAGTATTTATGGAGTGTAAGAGTATAATAGCAGTTCTATATAATAACAGTCATTGTGTGTTTTTAGCCTTTCTTAGATTTCATTCTTGTACAAACGAGCTCTGTGAAATTATTATAGCCAGTGTTTTTCACTCAGTTTATCTGCACTTCATAAAAATGCTTAAATGTTATTTCATCATCCTTCAAGTTGCTTTTCAGTGTGTGAAATCTGTGAACTAATTCTTGAATATTTATGAAGTAATTCTGATTTTTGCAGGTGTTGCAAGCCATTAGGAATATTTAGCTTAATTTGGAACAGGATTCTCTATTTTTCGCTTGATTTTTCATTTTTGAAAAAGAAGTTACAGTAAATCCATCTATGTATAATCCTTTTGTGGCTTTCTATAGTAGTTTGGTTAGGGATAAGAGTTATAGTTCACAATATCCCGATTGAAATGCTAAGAGAATTGTTTTACAGATAACGTATATCATTGTGTATATGTTATGTGTCCCCTCAGTAAGATTCTACTTTATAGAATGTTTGAGTAGGATCAGCAGTCACAGTGAATAAAAAAAGAACTAATAAAGAATACCCTTTCCTGACTTTGTTGTTGCTGTTTTTGAGGAAAGTTATTTTATAGTGCCTCTTTATTTGCATGAGAGTTGTCTATTTCTAAAAGAACCAGTAAGACTAATAAGATCATACTTTAAAATACTTTGTAGTATGTCCATGGTGTTATGGTTGTGGTGATATGCTGCCAGTTGGTAGTTGAACAAGATAGAGCTTAAATCTTTTACGCTGACGTAATGTTGGTCTTAGGTGGTTTAAGTTTCTCCTTCAGCAGATTTGTGCCTATAAAATTATTTGCCTTAGAATGAGTAGAGCAGACATCTGGCTGATAATGACCTTGTGGGATGCTATCAGACCTTGTTTCTCAAAGTAGGGTCCATGGAGCAGTAGCATCAGCATCACTCGGAGGTTTTTGGATGTACAGTCGTGACTGACTCTAGATTACTCCATCATAATCTGCATTTAAACAGATTCTCCAGTTGATTTGTATGCACATTAAAGTTTGAGAAGCCGTCCTGTAGATGACATAAGACTTGGCATCTGAGCAAGAAACAATCTCTATCTGAGGTTGCAAGGATACAAAGATTTAGGAATTATTTCTTAGAAAAATGAAACAAATGTTCATCTTAAAAATACACTTGTCTTTAGGATTATCTCTCTTTTCTGGAATAAAGTGTGTCCAATGCATTTCTTTTCTTTGATAATTCCATCTTATCTACCAAAGAAGACAGACTCCACTTAGTCTATACCAAATGAGTAAACCTGATTATTCTTAATCTTCCCTAAGATAGTGTCATTCTCTGGCCTTGTATGAAATTGACTCTTGAGAAAAGGAGATGGAAGACTGACGTTAGAATGGCAGGGCATATATCGTCACTTACTGGGCTTGGTTTTGTTACACCAGGGATAGAGATGTGCTTTATTTACTCCAAATTTATTTATTTATTTATTTATTTATTTATTTATTTAATTTTTTTGCTGTACGCGGGCCTCTCACTGCTGTGGCCTCTCCCGTTGCGGAGCACAGGCTCCGGACGCGCAGGCTCAGCGGCCATGGCTCACGGGCCTAGCTGCTCCGTGGCATGTGGGATCTTCCCGGACCGGGACACGAACCCGTGTCCCCTGGCATCGGCAGGTGGAGTCTCAACCACTGCGCCACCAGGGAAGCCCACTCCAAATTTATTTTATTTTTATTTTTTAAATTTTTATTGGAGTATAGTTGCTTTACAATGCTGTGTTAGTTTCTGCCGTACAGTAAAGCGAATCAGTTATATGTATACATATATACACTCTTTCTTAGATTTCCTTCTCATGTAGGTCACCACAGATCATTGAGTAGAGTTCCCTGTGCTAAACAGTAGGTTCCCATTAGTTATCTACTTTATGCATAGTGGTGTATACGTGTCAATTCCAATCTCCCAATTTGTCCCACCCCTTCTTCCTCCCTTGGTAACCGTAAGTTTGTTGTCTACATCTGTGACTATTTCTGCTTTGCTGATAAGTTCATCTGTACCATTTTTTTAGATTCCACATATAAGCGATAATATACGATATTTGTTTTACTCTTTCTGACTTACTTCACTCTGTATGACAGTCTCTAGGTCTATCCATGTCTCTGCAAATGACACTATTTCGTTCCTTTTTATGGCTGAGTAATATTCTATTGTATATATGTACCACATCTTCTTTATCCATTCCTCTGTCGATGGACATTTAGAAGATGTACCACACCTTCTTTATCCATTCCTCTGTCGATGGACTGACTATCGTAAATAGTGCTGCAGTGAATATCGGGGTGCATGCATCCTTTCAAATTCTGTTTTTCTCCAGCTATATGCCTAGGAGTGGGATTGCTGGGTCATATGGTAGTTCTATTTTTAGGTTTATAAGGAACCTCCATACTGTTCTCCATAGTGACTGTACCAATTTACATTCCCACCAACAGTGTAGGAGGGTTCCCTTTTCTCCACACCCTCTCCAGCAATATATTGTTTGAATATTTTTTGATGATGGCCATTCTGACCGATGTGAGGTGATACCTCATTGTAGTTTTGATTCTCATTTCTCTAGTAATTAGTGATGTTGAGCATCTTCTCATGTGCTTTTTGGCCATCTGTATGTGTTCTTTGGAGAAATGCCTATTTAGATCTTTTGATTGGGTTATTTGTTTTTTTGATATTGAGCTGCATGAGCTGTTTGTATATTTTGGAGATTATCCCATGTTGGTTGCTTCGTTTGCAAATATTTTCTCCCATTCTGAGGGTTGTCTTAAAGAATAAGGATGTCCTGAATGTCTGCTGTTTGCAGAATGAAACAGTGGATCAGACCTTTCCTCAGAGGTTTACAGTCAGGTTAGGAAATTATCCTTAAAAGTCAGACAACCTACCACCAGAAGAACTGTGACATTCTGGGATATGGCCATGTTGATCCACTGGCTGGTCTTGCCCAGCTGCTGTTAAGAGGGAGAGTAGGGACACAGCACTCATTTCAGTCAGTTACACCTGTTGTATCAAAGTAAGTACTGTCATAGTGGAACAGTATATTTAGGGGGAGTTAGAATTTAGAGAAATAACCAAAGAAATGCAAACATCTAGGTATACCTTCTCCTAATAGACTTAATATAATATTCATTGTGGCATACTCTGCCTCTTCTAGTTTCCTTTAAGGAAAAATCTTTTGTTTGCATTCTGCTTCCAATATTTCAAAACTCCCTTCAATGTTTTTCAACTTCTGAGGCAGCCTTGGGATCCCATTGACTTTTCTGGGGCTAGCCTTAATGTGGTATTTCAAAAACCACTCCGGCAGGTACCTCCTCAGCACAAATGATGTCTTGCTCAGTAAGTAGTATGAGCATAAACCACACAGGAGGGAGAGCTGGTCTCATTGAACATGGGCTTCTGCCTGACTCTTTCATACAGACTTGAGTGCTAGGGTGAGGGTAGGGGTCTCAGGTTCTGGGGCACCAGTGCCCTAGTGTAAGAGTACCACCATGACCGCTATGAACCTAAAGACCTGTAGTAGCCCTCCTTTTTAATACATAAAAAAGATAATTTTTCATGAAACTTTGTTCCCACTTCCTTTACTTCTGATTTTTATCCAGCAGTGTAAAGTTTGTCTGCCTTGCACAGGTGAACCAGAAATCTTTGAGGTAGGAGACAGCTGCTTGTGGTCACTACATGTGAAATGCCTTAATAAGCATGTGGCACCTGGAACAAGACACAGAAACACAAAGATGCCTCCCAAGAATGTGCAGTTTTCTGCCACATGATTGGCAACCATGTTATTAATATAGCAGAGAAGGGAGCTTGCCATTTTCTCACAAGGAAGGAATTATAAAAGAAAATTGTAGCATGGTCTACACCAAGACTAGAAATGTCACTCTCTTCATTTATTGTGCTGAATATATTACTTTTAGAAATTTGTATATAATATTTAAAAAATACTAATAAGGACATTTATTAGTTTACTTACATCATAGATCTTTTCCTCTGTAAATTCTCAATCGTGAACTTAATTCTTGAGATTAAGGAGACGGCGATATACTGTAATTTATATTAAATTGTTTTTTTCTTCCTCCCTTAGAAAGGCACATTAGGCTTTTTATTAGAGAAAAGCAACCAGACACCCTGGGTTCAGGATCTTACAGTGGAAAATAAGTTTTGACTTGAACCGGATTAAGTGGCAACTTGATAATAAATAATTTCAGGAGATTGCTGAATGTTCCGGTTAAGGATTAGCTCAGATTTTGTTATGTCATGATCGTCCTGACAAGTGCTGTGTGGTCACATCATTGTCACACACTGTGCTTAGCGAACGCTCTGGCCACTTTTGCTCTGCAGGAGAATGACTCAGGCACTTTGGACACGGTGGGCGCTGTGGTCGTGGACCATGAAGGGAACGTGGCTGCCGCCGTCTCCAGTGGAGGCTTGGCCTTGAAACATCCAGGGAGAGTGGGGCAGGTAAGTGATTCTGGGGTTTTAAAACTAGTTTTCCAAGTCGAAACATGGAATTTTCTAGCCCACAAGTTTTTGAACCAGTAGAGATATTTTTTTTTCTTTAGAAAAAACAAATGATTATTGTTCTTAGCACTTATGTAGTATAAATCATCAAATACCTGTTCAGGATTCTTTCTAAAATTAAAACCTATCTCACAGTAATAGGGTTCTTCCTGATCTTTATAATTGGTAATCCTATGTTTGGCTACTTTCAGCAGTCTAGCTACTGGCCTGGGCATTTATCAGACATTTAATAAATGTGCATCCATTTCCATTTTCTTTCTTTGTAAATGTCATTCTCTTTAGGATCCAGCACCTGACTATATGGCTGCTTGCTTTCCAGGTGGAAAAACAGTTTTAGAGTTACATTTTGTATTTCCTCCATTCAAGGAACAGTAACATTTTGACCCTCTAATCCCTCCTCTGATTAGGCATTTCAGGTATTTTATAGACTGACTAGTAGTCCAAGTCACCAACACATGATACCACTTGAGAAGTCGAGATAGAAGGGTCTAACTTATGTGCAACTGGCTTATTCCCTGTTCACTTGTACATCTTCTTCACCCCTGACTCCCCATCTCCATCCAGCCTTTAGTACCCAACTGAGAATGAAATTTAACAATCCATTTGATCTAATAACCTTTCTGGGAATAAACCAATTTGGCACATTACTTACAGCCTTAATAAATATTTGTTGAGTGAACAAATGAATTGGACACCCTCACAGAATCTGTTAAAGTTGTTGCACAGGGTGTGGTTAAGCTCAGTGCTTGGATCTCGTGTTGCATCTGTAGCACCTCTTGGCATGCTCTGTGTGCTTTGTCTCCCATGTTTGAAGAAGAGCCAGTGTCACAGTTGCTTTGGACACGGTGGTTAGCTAGTGCTTGGAGCAGAGTGATCTGCTTCGTGGAGGACATCTTTGCAAAGCCCCAAGTGATGTTCCCTGATCTGCCCTTTATTGTGGACAAGCCACTCACAGTCCTATGGTGGGAAGGGGAAGGGAAGAATAATTAATTTTGTGCTACTCTTTGCCTACCATACAAGGGGATTTATGAGGAATGATTACTCAACATGTGGAAGTGCTTTGAACTCAATATAAAAAGCCTTTGTCTGGTCATGGTATTTTTCCACATTATAAAGCCCTGTGTATTTATCAAGTTTGGAATAAGAAAACCAAGCTCGGCCTATCAGATCTGGATGCCTCGGTGGAGAAAGAGAGAGAAAAGCCAGCAGAGGCGCCTTCATTGCATTGCAATTCCCATGACTTTCTTACTGGTTTTTGTTTGTTTTCGTTAGCAAAATAGCAACAACAGAACCAAGGATAGTGCTGGACTACGTTAGCAGGATATTACACCGAACCCTGCACGTGGGGTTGCCCTGGAAAAAGAAATACTGTAAAACTTAACACGTACACATTTGAAAGTTGCTAAGAGAGTAGGTCTTAAAAGTTCTCACTACAAGAAAAACAATTCTGTAACTGTGTATGATGACGGATGTTAATTAGACTAATTGTGGTGATCATTTTGCAATATATACAAATATTTAATGATTATTATTATTATTATTATTATTTTTGCGGTCCGCAGGCCTCTCACTGTTGTGCCCTCTCCCGTTGCGGAGCACAGGCTCCGGACGTGCAGGATCAGCGGCCATGGCTTACGGGCCCAGCCGCTCCGCGGCATGTGGGATCTTCCCCGACCGGGGCACGAACCCATGTCCCCTGCGTTGGCAGGCAGACTCTCAACCACTGCTCCACCAGGGAAGCCTTGAATGATTATTTTGTACACCTGAAGCTAATATAATGCGTGTCAATTGTACCTCAATTAAAAAAAAAAACAACCTTGCATATTGATTTGCCCCACTTGTCTAGTTTATGAATGCATAGTTTGTGAGAGCTGATAAATCAGGAAAGGGTGTGGAGGAGTAAAGAAAGGTGCTTACAGGAAAACACAGTTGCTTAATCGTGTTATATTGCTCAGATAGAGGAGAAGCAATAAGCCTAGAAATATGCAAGCATCAGATGGGAGGTAAAGAGCCGTTCTTCTTGAGGATCAGGACAGAATGAAACAAAATACTCAAGCAAAGTATTTAAAGAAGCAAAGATTAATTATTTTTTTAAAATGTGCTGAAACTAGCTATTCTTATAGACATTTTAAATGCACAAGTAACTCTTTAAAAATTTTAGCATATTACCCGTATTACCCAGCTGCTGAAGTGGCAATTTGAATTAGAACTTGTTTGCTTCCTCAGCTTATCGTAATGGTTAGAACTTACAAACGGGACACGAGAGGGAAATTATTGTCATTATGTTCTACTCTCCCCTAACCCTCACCCTACCCACTCACAAACAGGCAGTTGAGTTAAGGGGCTAAGAGTGTGGATTTGGGATTTAGATAAAACTTTATTCTAACCATCCCCCCCGCCCTTACCAGTCCCCTCCCCATGGACAAGTTACTCAACGCCGTTAAGTTCTACTTTCCACAACTATAAAATGGGGATAAATAGCTACCTTACAAAGTTCTAGAAGGTTAAATGACATAATTCATTTCAGTTGCTTATCATAGTGCCTCCTAATAACAGCTGCAGCCTGCTGTTTATTAATCACTGGCTCTGTGCGGCAAGTGTGCCTACAAGACTGTGAGGTGGGTGTTTTTATTACTGTCATTTTATAAAAGAGGAAACAAAGACCCAGAGAAGATTAAATTATAATAATATCATCATTTGTATGACCTACTTTTACTGCATGTTAATAGCTTTGATAAAATTTTACTACTAAAAAGAAGGAAGCCTTTTGCTGTTGCCCTTGTTTTTAAAGACCTGCTTAAGGTTGTTATGTTTTATCCAAAGGAGTGGATAAGAGACGGACAGTCTCTGATTCTTTCTTTTATCTTAGCCATCACTGTCTCAGTCCAACCAATTTCAGAAGGTTAAGAAGGAAGACAACTTTAGGTCATGAAATTGAGGAGAGATAGCATAGAGAGGAGAAACAAGAGTAAAACAAACTTCCTTTTCATGGCCTCCACTGGGCTTCTCAGGGGTGTCTTTGGCCATATTTACTATTTTTTAGGTGCAGACTCCTGGTCAAGATAATTGTGGGAAATGGAAAGGGCAATGGGCTAAGATCCAGGGTTTCCAGTGAAGGAAGAATGGGCCCTTCCACCGAGGTCACATGCTCTCTGAGGCTTCGGCTGACCCAACACCCAGCCTAGGTAGTACCAGTGGAATGGCTTATCCCACAAGCCTGCCATTTTATTCTGAAATCCATATGTTGAATTAATTCCATAGAGCTTTTAGTTGCCACTCTCACCCAGCTGTCTTGTGTGTTTTAGAAGCATGGTGTTTTCAATATGTCTGCCATATCAGGGGTGTTGTGTTCAGTTCTTGGTTCTACTTTTAAGAGGAGTATTGTCATTGACAGTGGGGGATGGCAACTGTGGATCACACGAACATGGTCAGACTTCACCTCCAATTATCCTGGACTCTGGATCATTTCTCAAGGAGGGTCATTAGGGAAGTGGGGTGGGTGTGTGCATCTCAATGTCTTGGGGAGCAGTTCACAAATTCTTTGAGAGAGAAAAGAGAATCAGGGCATTAGAATAGATGTTTTCGAAAGTTTGGAGAACTTTAGGGGAAGATTAAAGTATTTCCAGAGAGTAGACCTAGGATTGGTGGGTGGAAGTTAAGGAAGAACTTTCCACCAGTGGAAAGTGTCCAGAAGGGGTATATGTTCCCACATGAGGCGGTGAGGTTCTCAGTATCAGCAGTGCCTGGGATATTTCACAAAAATCCTTGTTCTGGGTAGAATATTAGAGCAAATTAGTTCTGAAGTCCTTGTAAAAAAGAATAAAATATCATAGAAAGCTGAAGTCTGTCTGGTCACCATTCTCAGTCTAAGCTTCTTCTTCCAGTCCTCACAAGTGAGTTTCTAGAATATAACAGTACTATTTTATGGGGGTATCTTTTGCCTTTATCAATCACAGAGAATACTGAATGTCTTGTAGTTTGCTGTTTGTTTTCTTTTTAACTCAATAGGTTTCAGAGTTTCTTCTGTAATAGTTCTTAAAAATCTTTTTAAAGAAACTTAATCCTTTTTTCTAATGTTTGAAACAAATTCCACATATTGCTATGCCAATGTTTATTTAGCCATTTCTGTACTGGTTGAATGTATGTTGTTTTCAGTATTTCATTCTTATCAAACAGGTGATAATGAATATTCTTGACCATGCCTCCTTGTATTTCTCTGTAATAGCTATCTAAGGGTTTTTCTAATTCTGCTTCTAAGGAATGGAACAGTTATCAATTGTGATTCCCCTTCCAAAGGCAGAGAAAATCATTGTGAATATTGAAGAGGTGAATCCAGACATTCTGGGTGGCACTGTTGGAAACAAAATAGGAATGATTGTCACACACTTTTATAAAACCACAGCAGCTTATTGTGTTCCTGGTGGTTTCAGACATATAAATTTATTCCACCACCTCACAAAGCAATTAGCTTGAACAGGCCTTTTTGTCTCCTTTCTTTCTATCTGGCAGAATCTAGCACAGTGGTGAGCAGATACTGGGCCCTTCGGTGTATACCTGTTTGCAGTTCCTGTTGTGCCATCCCGAAGGAGGCAGGGAAAAGGCAATAAAACCTAAAGCAGCATTTGCTAGAGCGTGGCAGGAGGACCACCTGCGTTCTGGGCTCCTAGGCCTGGGTTAATGATGCTGATCCCTGGGCCAACCTCCAGACCATCAGGATATCTGGGAACCAAGGTTCCTATCATCATGCTCCCCAAGAAATCTGACTCACACCTAGTTTGACAAGTGTTATTTTAAGGCAACCACAGTGATTTCAAGGAGCCAGAAGAGCAACACCTGGCAAACTACAATAGAGGGAAGATTTTTCAGGGAAGGAAAAAATTGCTGTTGATGAGACTAAGAAACTTTCTTTTGCTATTTTCTGAAAAATTTTAGATTAGTACATAGCTGAAAATATAGTTTTGTTAATGTTAGAACCATTGTTTGGGTAGGTCTTATACAACCTCTGGTTATCGCTCATTTGCTATACATCATTATTAGATGAGGCTTTATTAGATGGGTATGATTTCTGTCTTCTGGTGAAAGCTAGTACTTACATATAATAATCTTAAAATATTGTATTTATCTATTTTTCCTCCCAGGCTGCTCTTTATGGATGTGGCTGCTGGGCTGAAAATACTGGAGCTCATAATCCCTACTCCACAGCTGTGAGTACCTCAGGTATTTGCTGCTTTCATGACCATTTTTCATAACTTCAACCTTGTAGGTCATTTAATGATTGAAAACCATATTTTTATGTAAAGACAAAGCATGTGCTAAGACGTCACATGGAAAGAACATTGATGCCTGAAAAATCTTTGATATTTGGGAGCTTTTGAGAATTGTTTCATAATGTAAGTATCACAGTATAGAGTATAAAGGCTTTGCTAACATTTTCAATACAACTTTGGAGTTAACTAAAATTTAATTGTATTTTTAATGGATTTTTTTTTCTCTAATGACTCATGATAGTACCAAATTCAGGTCAAAATGATATAAAAGTAGCAAGGCATTTCAGAAGCTAAGAGGTCATTTCTTGAGTAAAATGTTGACATAAAACTTACAAGGTGTATTTCAAACTGTGTAGTTTATGGCATCTACACTTTTGATAAAATGTAGGTCCTTTTTTTGTATTTGTATTAGAAGAGTCATTTTCATTTAGAAGTGTGTGTGTGTGCGTGAGAGAGAGTGAGTGTATGTTTGGGGGGAGTGGATTTTTAAAAAATTTTTTATTGGAGTATAGTTGATTTATAATGTTGTGTTCGTTTCAGGTGTACAGCAAAGTGAATCAGTTATACATATACATGTATCCACTCTTTTTTGGATCCTTTTCCCATATAGGCCATTACAGAGTAGTGAGTGGAGTTTCCTGTGCTATACAGTAGGTCCTCATTAGTTATCTATTTAATATATTTTAGTGGGGAGTAGATTTTAATGGGCAGAATGGTTGTTGTCTAGACCCAGGTTTTCATATGCTTTTGCCAGACGTACTTGAAGCTCTTCATGTAGTTGATATGCATGGTTGACATAATAATATTGGTTCATCCCCTTTGCTGTGCTGTCTCTCAAGTTACAGTCCTAGGCCTTTCTCCCCGACGTCCTCAGGCCTTATCAGGAGGCCGGTAGACATGGCTGCCTTTCCTTCCTTTCTCTCTTCAGTTTCTTGCCACGTTGTTTTCTGTCCCACTACACTGACCACCCACCCAGTCCAAGAGCCCTCCTCTCCCGCTCACTCTTGCCTCTCTGTGGTCTCTGGCACAGGTCACTCTTTTCTTTCCATGTCCAGAATATATCCTGAACCTCTCTTGGTTTTTTCTGCTTCCCTGACCTACTCCATTTTGTCCTTCGTCACACGGACTCTTCCCATTGCTAACGACCCCAGTGTGGGCCTCTGCCGGCTTTTCTTCATCTCACTGTGTGCTTCCTCTCGGTGATCTGGTATTATTGCTGTTGTTCTCATGATTTCAGCGGTTATCTTTTAACATATTGGCTTCCACGTCTATCTCTACTCTGGACTTTTCACTTGAAGTCCACCTGAGTTCTTTCTGCCTTCCTGTCGGATACATCCCTGTGGGTGTTATGTGTGCACATGAGATTCAGCAGCCCAACTGAACACCTCGTTCCTTATTCCCACGCCTTGGCCATCTTTCTCCTGTACTCTTTTTCTCTTTTACTGCCATCACTATTCTATCTGGTCAGACTTGAAATCTTGGTACCATTCTCACATTTGTAGCTTCTTTCCATTTCTACTGACCTGACCCTGTTATTTCAGACACCCAAGCTCCTGCCCGCCTGTTGTAGCAGCCTCCTGACTCAGATCCGTTATTTGCATTGGTGGAAAAATTTGATTTTGAGCCACTCAGGTGAAGTCCAAACACAAATTAATGTTGAATCTAAACCATACTAATATAATAGACAAAAAATTGTTTTTCAGTCTCTCCATTTTGAAGAAATGAGCATAATGTAGTAATATGAGTTAATTTTTAATTTAGTATTGCTGGCACATGAAAATCTTTACACATAATACTTAGGAATTAGCTTGTGCATAATGAAGTATGGCCCATGTCTATGGAAAATTGTGGTATTTGAACAAACCAAAGTCTAAAATAGGTAATTCATTGTTCCATTTTTATTTTCCTAAAGAAATATCAGTTGGTATCATGTGTTGTGTTGACTTTAATTTTGGTCAGTATGTGGTTCATGAGTTGGTTTGTTGCTATTTAAATGTTAGGAGACCTGAATTATACTTGAAGCTGGAATCATGAGTGTCTGTCTCACTGTGTCACTTTGGAAAAGACATTCAATCTCCTTGGGATTGTCCACCTCCCTTTTTGAAATTTGGTGATGTGGAATAAGAGCACATAAATCTCTATAGATTTGATTCTGTGAAGTAGATGGCAGTGGGTGGGTAAAGTTAAAATTGTAAAATTAAGGTCTTTCTCCCTTCCCCTTGAATATTTCCTTCTTTGCCCATCTTGTATCCACTGAAGATAGTTTTTTATATGACTAAAGATAACTTTAGGTTTCCAGTTTATGATATCTAGTGTAGCTTTTTAACTTGGATGCCCAGCTCATCATGTTATATCCTTCTTAAGTTTAGGAACTAACCATCATCAGCCTACAGAACCTGAGGATAATAGAGCAAGTCTCCATTTGCTTCCATCTGTGGGACTTTGTGTGATTGCTTCGCCCTTGTTTCTCCTGGGGCTGTTGCTATGAGGTTGACGATGGAAACACATGGCAGAGTTGGGTGACCACGTCAGAAGCAAGGTGGAGCACAGAATTTTGCAACTGTTTGGTCAAAATAAAAAAGACATGTGCCTTAGGCTGCTGCAGAAAATCCAGAGACCTGGCCTACATTTTAGGTTTATAGTTCTTGGAAGGTGATAATTGAAAGACAGAGGGAAGATAACTAGTTATGGTCAGGGTAGGGCTCTGCTAAGGCCAGACAGGCGATGGGGTCATTAGCCTGTGGGATAAACTCCAGCATGTTGTTCTCATCACGGCGGGGAGGAATGAGTGGAGAGTGGGGAAGAGCGTAGCGGGGCAGGAGCTGACCTTGCAAACTCTGACTAATGTTCCGGCATCTTGGAAACTTGCCGAGCTAGGGAGGTTCTTGTTCTGATTCTTCCACTCACTGGCTGAGACATCCTGGCAAGGAGTTATCTGTACCACAGGAATAGCACCTATCTTAATATTTATGAGGATTTAATGAGCTGACGTATGGATCTCTAGATATTACTCATCTTACACAACTGAAACCTTATGAATTTTGAATAGCACCTCCCCATTTCTCCCTTTGCTAACTCCTGGCAGTCACCGTTACCCTCTGCTTCTACGAGTCTGACTGTTTTAGGTGCCTCATATAAGTGCAGTTGTGCAGTGTCTGTCCTTCTGTGACTGGCCTGTTTCACTGAGCATAATGTCTTCTGGGTTCATCCATGTTGTCATATACGGTAGGATTTCCTTCCTTTTAAAGGCCGAATAATATTCCGTTATATGGATATACCACATTTTCTTTTCTTGCTCATCTGTCAAGGACATTTAGGTTGTTTTCATATCTTGGCTATTGTAAATAATGATGCAATGAACATGGGAGTGCAGGTACCTCTTTGAGATCCTGATTTCAATTCTTTCTGATAAATACACAGAAGTGGAATTGCTGGATCATATGGTAGTTCCATTTTTGTTTTTTGAGGAACCTTCATACTGTTTTCCATAGTAACTGAACCATTTTACATTCCTACCACCTGTGTATGCAGGTTCAGATATCTCCATATCCTCACCAACATTTATCTCGTCTTATTTTTTTTTTAAACGTCTTTGTTGGAGTATAATTGCTTTACAATGGTGTGTTAGTTTCTGCTTTATAACACAGTGAATCAGCTATACATATACATATATCCCCATATCTCCTCCCTCCTCCGTCTCCCTCCCACCCTCACTATCCCACCCCTCTAGGTGGTCACAGAGCACAGAGTTGATCTCCCTGTGCCATGTGTCTGCTTCCCACTAGCTATCTATTTTACATTTGGTAGTATATATTAGTTCATACCACTCTCTCACTTTGTCCCAGCTTACCCTTCCCCCTCCCCGTGTCCTCAAGTCCATTCTCTATGTCTGCGTCTTTATTCCTGTCCTGCCCCTAGTTTTTTCATAACCATTTTTTTTTTTTGGATTCCATATATATGTGTTAGCATACGGTATTTGTTTTTCTCTTTCTGACTTACTTCACTCTGTGTGACAGAGTCTGGGTCCATCCACCTCACTACAAATAACTCAATTTCATTTCTTTTTATGGCTGAGTAATATTCCATTGTATATTTGTGCCACATCTTCTTTATCCATTCATCTGTCGATGGACACTTAGGTTGCTTCCATGTCCTGGCTATTGTAAATAGAGCGGCAGTGAACATTGTGGTACATGACTCTTTTTGAATTATGGTTTTCACAGGGTATATGCCCAGTAGTGGGATTGCTGGGTTGTATGGTAGTTCTACTTTTAGTTTGTTAAGGAACCTCCATATTGTTCTCCATAGTGACTATCTCTTGTCTTTTTGATAATAGCCATTTTGACAGATGTGTGGTGATATCTTGTGGTTTTAAGTTGCACTTCCCTAATGACTAATGATGTTGAACACCTTTTTCATACACCTGTTGGCCGTTTGTATGTCTTCTTTGGAGAAATGTCTATTCAAGTCCTTTGCCCATGTTCTAATATTGTTTTTTTGCTATTGAGTTGTAGGAGTTCCTTATCTATTTTAGATATTAACCCCTTTTCAGAAGTATGGTTTATAAATATTTTCTCCCATTCCATAAGTGTCCTTTTCATTTTATTGCTTATTTCCTTTGCTATGTTGAAGCTCTTTAGTTTGATGTAGTCCCACTTGTCTATTTTTGCTTTTGTTGCCTGTACGTTTACTGTAATATCCAAGAATAAAATAGACCAATGTAAGACACATACACTAGAGGGAAAAAGAGACTGCCAGTTATATTATGACACACGGCTTTCTCATCACTTAACACATGGCTGTTGCTTTACAAGAAACTATAGAATTGGGGATATTCTTCCAACGAGAAATATTTGCTTCCCTGGTAACAATGTCATGCCCTTTTGCTATTTCCATGCCTTCCTATGTATACAGTCACTTTTGGTTTGAATCGTGTATCATACCGTAATC